CGGGGCCGCCGCCGCCGCGCCGCGGACCGCCCTGCACATCCTGGTGCCCTGGCTGCTCTCCTCGGCGCCCCCCGGAGCCCCGGTACCGCGTGGCCGGGCGGGCGGGGAGAGGTGCACCCAGAGCAGCGCGGCGATGCCCCGTGGTCCCGGGCTGACAGCACAAAGGGATGGGCCCTTGGGGTGGCCCTGCTCCGAGCAGGCAGGGGGCAGATGCCTGCCAGGGTCCCTAGCTGCCCTTGTCTTCTGTGACTCTGGAAACAGGGGAGAGGAAGGAGGTGCCAGGCTGGGGATGCGCCTTTCTCTGCACCCCCTGGGACGGGCTGCGCTGGTGGCTGAGGGGGCCTGTGGGTCTGGTGCTGTTGTGGGCATTCCCGCGCGTCAGGGGGAGATTTGCCTCTGGGCCACCTGGAAGTGGCCGTGCCCTTAGCTGTCCAGTGCATCTGCCCGCCCTGTCTGGGACAACGAGAGCATGAGGTCTGGTGGGGTGGCTCGGGTCCCAGATGGGAGACGGGGAGGGAGTGTGCCCCTTGGCACGCAGGACTGTGTGTCGGCATGCGCGTACCGTGCGCGTGTGACTTTCAGACCGCTGCTCATTGGACTGAGTGGTTGTGGCAGCAGCTGCGCTCCTCTAGGGCTCCTCGTCTGCGCAGAAGTAGTTAGGGATCTTCTGGAAGGGCTGGATGTTTTTAAATCTGCGGGCCCTGATGCCCTCCACCCACAGGTGTTGAGAGAGCTGGCGGGGGTCATTGCTGTGCCCTTGGCCTGGCTATACAAGCGATCGTGGTCCATGGGCCAGGTGACCGGAGATTGGAAACTAGCTAATGTGGTCCCCATTTACAAGAAAGGGAGAAAGGAGGACCCAGGAAACTATAGGCCCATAAGCCTCACATTGGTCTTGGGGAAAATCCTTGCCAAGGATCACATCTGTGAGGGCCAGCAGGGGAGATCATGCCACGGGGAAATCAACATGGGTTCATCAAAGGCAGGTCCTTCCAGACCAACCTGATGGCCTTTTATGGCCAGGTAACTAAATCCCTGGATGATGGTATCACCGTGGACATGGTCTTTCTGGACTTTGACACTGTCTCTCACCCCATTCTCATTAATAAACTGAGCGACTGTGGCATTGATGCCTACACAGTTGGATGGGTAAAAACTTGGCTGATGGGGCACACCCAGAGAGTAGTGGTGGTGGACGGGTCGTACTCGACCTGGCGGGATGTGAACAGTAGGGTCCCCCAGGGCTCGGTCCTGGGCCCTACACTGTTCAACATCTTCATCAGCGACTTAGACGAGGGGGTGGAAAACACGTTGTCCAAGTTTGCCAATGACACCAAGATGTGGGGAGAGGTAGGCACGCTCAAAAGGAGAGAGAGGCTGCAACTAGATTTAGACAGACTACAGAAGTGGG